TTTCTTTAATTGCAAATAGACATATTGGATTTTCTGTATGTATAATGGATATTTTTCATTAGGTAACAAGTGAATGTGAGTTCGTTAAAAGGTTGAGCACCAGGATTGATGAGACACTGCCCGAGACTAATTCATTCACGGTGGCGTCAGACTAATTCATTTAATTTGGCAATCAATTCTTCAAAAACCGATACTTTTTTTTTTTTTGGGGCTTTGGTTGAGATATGGAGGAGGGGAGTTAGAGGGAGGTTAGGGAGACGGGACTACTTGGCAGTGGGGGTTAGAAGGGGGTGGGGTGGGGGAGGTTGAGAGATAATTAGTTGGATTTTAAAAAAAACCAAGAAAATTTTATTTTAATTTTAAAAAGTTTTTTTGTTATAAATTAAATTGAGTTAGATGTAGGTGGTAAATTTCGACATTTTACAAAATTCAGATGGTATTCATGAAAATTTCCCTAGAATATATAAAATAAGGAGTGAAATGGGAAAAATAGTTAGCATTTCTCTATAAGAATTTAACCCTTTTTTTCTTCTTCTTTGTTTTGCTTTCTAAATAACATAATGGCTTAGCATGCTTCTTATCTTATAGCAATTAAAGAACAACATGATAATACACAAAATCCATTTCCTATAGGACCAAATAAGTATACACAACAAGTATTTGGTAGTGCGTCAAATAGTATGAGAAACAATAGCATGAAATGAAAATAACATTATTTTACTATATCCATTCAATAACACTATGACACGCACGTTATTCATCAGAAGAGTAAAATACCAAATTTGTCTCCGAATACTCTAGAAGCTTGATTGAGACGTGTAAGCCCCATGGCCAAGTCACATACATACTCATAGTTCTACGCGTCTTGTCCTTTTTTTTTTTTTTTTTTAAGTCTTAGCTCCGAAGCAAATAAACTTCGCCGTCAAGTGTGAACTCTCAAACTCCACCGAACCTCCTAGACCTTCTAGAAATGGTACCAAATCAAAACGCCCCCTCTACTCAATCACTCTCTCTCTTGCTCTCTCTCTCATCCTCTTCATCTGCCACCTCACCCTCTCTCTCTCTCTCTCTCTCTCTCTCTCTCTCTCTCTCCACGTCTTAACGCGTTTTTGCTTTCATCACCCATCTATTTAGCTCCAACTTAATATCACAGAAGCTTATTCTGTTCTTTATTGGGCTTAATTTCCCTCCAAAAAAGTAAGAAAATCTTTGGATCTTTCTTCCTTTGACAAATCAACACGCAATGTTTAAACCCCATTTGTCCCCTTCCTAGAAATTTCCTTCCTCATGATCTCAATAGTAAAAGTTGTTCCCTTTATTTAACTTTCCACACCACACCCACTTCCTCTATCATATTTTCTCACCTCCCCTCCTCTTCTTCTTCTCTCTCTCTTGTGGTCTGTGATCCTCTTAATCTTCACACACACTGCATAAAGTTCGAATCTTTCAACAACCCAGATCGAGTTTTGTAGTTTCTTCATCGGATTTTGATACAAAATGGAGAACAACAACAACAACCAGTCGTTTTGGCAATTCAGCGATCAGCTTCGCGTTCAAGGCACCAACTTTGCAAATCTCACAGTTAATGATTCGATTTGGAGCAATTCGTACAGCAAGAGGCCTGATGAAAGGAGGAATTTCGATATAAAGGTAGGCGGCGATGTCAGTCCTCTGATCAATTTAACCCCAAAAGGGTCTGATTTCAATGGTTTCAACGACTCTTGGGTGGACAATCTGAAGCCAAAAGGGTCCTCTGACTCCAACGGCTCCAACGATGGCTGGAACAGCTTCAAGCCAAAAGCTTCAGAGCTCAACAATGGCTTTAACGACAGATGGAACAATTTCAAGCCAAAAGCTTCAGAATTTAACGCTTTTAACGAGGGCTGGAAGCTTGGTGCTTCTGCTGCTGCTGCTGGGTCGGTTCTTGGCGGCGGCTCGCAGCTCAATGGCGGCTTCAACAAGGGGATTTACTCCAAGCCTGCAATTTACAACAACAACAACAACATGGTCAATTTGAAGCCCTACAAGAACAAGGCTCATGAGGAAGATCTTGTTCATGGCGGCAAAGTTGGGAAGAAGAACAACAACAATTCTAGCAAGAAGAAAGCTGGTGGAGATGACAACAACAAGGACAGCAAGGGCGCTGTGGACAAAAGGTTCAAGACTCTGCCACCAGCTGAGTCTCTGCCTAGAAATGAAACCATTGGTGGATATATCTTTGTCTGCAACAATGATACCATGCAAGAAAATCTCAAGAGGCAGCTTTTTGGTATGTCCCTTTTGATTTTTTTTTCCATAATTTTGTTTTTCAATTGGGTTTGCTTAAAAAAAAAGGAATTGATTTGAAGAATTTGTGTTAATTTTGTTTTTCTGCATAATTCTTTTGCAGGTTTGCCTCCACGTTATCGTGATTCAGTGAGGGCGATAACTCCGGGGTTGCCCCTTTTCCTCTACAACTACTCCACCCACCAACTCCATGGAATTTTTGAGGTTTGTAGCTTCTCTCCTGCCGACACTTCTCTTTGAAATATTTAAATTTCATCCATTTGCCGACTTTAGACTTTTCACCTAATATTTTAGTGTTTTGTTGAAGAAGTAGGAATGTGTTTTGCTTGTTCAACTCTTGTTTTGGCCAAACTTCTAGATGTTTATTTACGTTTTGTGCTTGTGCACCAATTGCTAGCTAACAACGACCTTTCTTGTGGGTTTTAGGCTGCAAGTTTTGGAGGCACCAACTTTGATCCAACGGCCTGGGAGGACAAGAAGTGCCCTGGCGAGTCACGTTTCCCAGCTCAGGTTTGTGATCGATTTCAAAAGAATTTGAGATGAGCAAATTGAGTGCTCTCAAATTTACCATTTTACTGTGTTTCATTTGCTCACCATTTATCCTCATGAACCGCAGGTTCGAGTTTTTACCAGGAAAGTTTGTGAACCACTTGAGGAAGACTCATTCAGGCCAATTCTTCACCACTACGATGGCCCTAAATTCAGGCTTGAACTTAGTGTACCAGAGGTAAACGCCACACAACCAAAGCTCACATGTTCACTAGCCAGAGATTTTGTATTTTGTTCTCAGTTTCTAATGCATTTATTTTTTAATTTTGCAGGCGCTATCTCTGTTGGATATATTTGCAGACCAGAACCCTTGAACAAGAACAGAAGTGTAGAGTCGTACAGATAATACAACATACAAGTTAGTGAGAGGAAAGAGAATAGTGGATAGGGTTGCTTGGCATCATCAAATATATATTATAAATGTTGGTTGGGGAGTGTTGAGAGTTTGAGGAGAATCTGAAGACGGGTGGATATACAATATGTACGATATATATAATGTATAATGCTTTTTCTTGCCAGGGGCTGAGAATTATATATTCTTTTTCCCCTTTGTTCTTTCTTTTGGAATGTGTAAGCAAATACAGACGATGAGGAAGGGGATATTTATTATGAGTTGTATCAGGTTATAAAAATACATGGTGGATGCTTGGTAACGCGTATGATCGAAAATAAATTTGTGTTACTTCATTTGTGTAATGTGTGAAGACTCGAAAGCGAGTTTTCCAGAGATTAAACCTGTTTTTTCTTAAGATTTTTATGAAGGGTTACTCCAATATTATAGTCCTTTTGGTACCATATATCCTTAATACTAATTAGTTCATTATGAAAAGTAGTATTATGAGTCGACTTAAGTTCTTAGATACAAGTTTATGATGCTCGTCCGTAAATCCGGTAATGGTTAACCTAATCAATAATTAATTTCACTTAACTTAATCAATGAGCTGTCAATTTGAATCACACATTCATGTTCAAGATGTGCGCGATTAATTTAGATAAACGGTGGATATTCATGTTCACGACTAATTTAAATAAACGAATCAGTTTGCGTAATCCACACTCGAGTAACGGCAAAACTTTTTAATCAATGATCCAAATTCACAAATTTGTAGGAGTAAATTTCTTAGCAACACTGATTTTTCCAGCCCTGTTATCTGATAAACACACAGGACTGGTGTCCTTGGAGAAGGCATAAAGTTTGGTCCATGTTGATGAGCAAATAGGCAATAAACAACAAATTGAAAAGGCAGGTATGGTTGATGGGTTGGCTTATAGTTATAGCAATATAGCAAAGTGGGGAAGAAGAAATTGATAACCCAATTAATGAGTTGCTTAGAGAAGGACGTTAAGAAGAATCTTTAATGAACATGTGGGAGGCAGTTTCTAGTTAGGCCATCTGCAGCAGAAGAAAGGTTGGTTTTCTTGCCCTATCTATCTGTTTCTAGACGTCAGCCTTTATTTTTCATTATTTCCTGTTTTTAATCAATAATAATTACATTATATGATAGCAACTGCAAATTCCAAATATGATAAACCAAGTAAAATTTGGGCATCCTTGAATTGAAATATTGACTGGCTCTCTCTCTCTCTCTCTCTCTCTCTCTTCTGGAAAACCAAAAATATTGACTCGAAAACTTGACTTAGTCTAAGCAAGATTTAATTAGCACCGTCCAAAATGGGGGGCCTGCTTGAACCTCCAGAATGTTGATTGTTTCACACGAATCATTCATCCGTAATACACGTCACCGTTTATCTATTATATGAGTTTTTTTTAACAAATTTATAAATAAACTCAATCTTAGACATGTATTTATAAAAAAATTCAAACACTATTTAAACATAGAAACACCCTCAAAATCAACAGTTATATATTTTTTAGGTGTGTTTATAAATGGGTTTTGAGTATGTGTAATGATGGATTTTGGGTGTGTTTATAAAGTGTTTGGGGTGTTGGGTTTTTTTATAATTTCAACCCCCATTTTGGATGTTTTAGTGAAACTTCCTTTTTTTTTATCTATAGGTCAGTTTGTGTTTAGTTAAATAATATAAGTTTGGACGTTTACATCAATAAGGGTCCATAGCTCAGTGGTAGAGCATTTGACTGCAGATCAAGAGGTCACCGGTTCGAACCCGGTTGGGCCCTTTAATATTTTTTTATTTATTCATACTTTTTGGCACTAAATTGTACATTCTATATACACTTTACAGTTCTTTACAAGTCACTCTCTTCGTCTCTCTGTTTTACCAGAGCTTACAAATCTCACTCAGGAATGAGGATAGTGTATATTTTCTTAAACACCAATCAAAAACTTATACACAACATTGAAATCAAAGATAATAAAAGAGAAACAAATACCCTACTCCGTTGAAATTACGTTAAAGACCAACAAGCCACACACTGCACCAGCCCATTCTCATTACACTTGGGGCACCTCTCCCTCTTATCCCCAACCACCACCTTACAACTCCCGCCACACTCCATGCACGGCACGAACCGGGCCCCACCGCACCCCTCACACGCTCGCCACCCCACCCCTCTCTCCACGCCTGCTAACTTCACCATCCTCCCAAACACCCCGGACTCGTTCAGCTCCACCAACTCCTCCGCCCCACCCAGATACCTCCCCTTCACGAAAACCCTCGGCACACCCACGCCGCCGTCGGAGTTATTGCTCTCCTCACCCAGCAATCCCCTCAGCTCACCCAGAAACTCGCCGTGCAGCGCCACGTCGCGCTCGTCGTACACCACCCGATGGCACCACAGAGTCGGCGCCGCCGGGCGGGCACCTCTCCGGGTACTCGCTCAGTGGGTCCCGCTTGCTCTTCATCAGCCTATCGTAGACCGCCAGCTTGCCTTCCTTCTCTCTCTCCATCCTGTCCCTCATTATGAATATGTTCTCCTTCACCGGCTTGATGTAACCCGCCGCCGACTGAGTCGACTGAGTCGCCTCCGAGTCAACTCGTGACTCGGACCGGGTCGACTCGGTGTTTAGCTTACACAGGGACCGCATCGACTCGCTCTTTCTCATGTCGGCCGGTTTCGGAGCGAGCTTCTTGTCGAGCTCGTCGAGCGTGTGGAAGGACAGGCTCTTACGGGGCTTCCTACTACTGGTCTGTTCGTTCTGGGCCGGGGAAGGAGTTGGGCTTGGCTCGGGTTTGCACTTCGGGTCGGTCTTGGGCTTTAGGTTCTCTAGGGCCTTGCTGACCTCGTCCCACGTGTGAGGGGCTGCTTCCGCTTCGGTTTCTAACGATTTGAGCTTGTCGAGGATTTGGGCCGGCACATGCGCGGGCTTTTCGTGGCTCTGCTGCTGCTCCTGCAGCGTCGTATTGTCGAATACGAGCCACGGCTCTTGGATGGCGTTGATGTCGAAGACCGCGTAGCTCGCCGGTGCGGGCTTGTAGTCCACGGCAGCCTCCACTCTTTTCGAGGAAGCGCAGCCCATTTTTGGAAATGAGTTTGGTTTAATCTGGACCGTAGAAAATGTGTGTGAGCTAAGCTAGAGTGTGTTTTATGTGTGTGGGTTTATATGAGAAGAAAAGAGAGCTCAAATGTTGTTTATACGTGTGGAGGGAATTTTGTGTGGCTTTGAATTTTGGTGGATTTGGTGCCAAGGCCTTGAAGTGATATATGTGGTGTTTGGATAAACAAGGTGAGCCTGTGGATTGGCGCCACGTGGGAATATGTTTTGAAGTTTGGTTTATTGGATTTATTAGGCCATGTTATCTTAGAAGTATTAGTGGCTGGGAATGTGAGGTTTGTGATGAAAATCTTCGGATTATACCTTCCATATACCACAAATTTAAATTCAATCCAAAGCGTGGGCAATTCGTCTCTTAAAGTTTGTAATACTTGTAGGACTTAGATTTTTACGTACATAAATTAAAATTGACAAAATTGAAACGACGGAGATAAAATGAAAAATGAATCAAATAATGGGAACCAAAAATGCAATGTCGCTTGTATTTAAAAAAAAAATAAACGAGTTCGATCAGCCCTGTTTCTTTTATCCTTGGCCTAGCTACTTAGCAAAGCCATTCTTACCATTAACTAGGCAAATAGGAGTCTTAAATCTTTGAAAACCAAAATCATGTTTCGGCTTTGTTTAGAATGTGGCTAAATGATAAGGCCTCATATTCCATGGTTCCATCTAGACAAAGATTTTCATTCATTTGGTGCGGTTGACTCTTCTACAAGAATAGTCGATAGTATTTGTGCTTACACCGTTACATGGTATTATCCGAGAGTACCTAAACAATTTTTCATTTTTCCATTCGTTTGTTGTGGGGTCGCATGATTAGTCTCCCTACTTGACCTAACACATGCTTGTGGGTATGCAACCCGTGATACTGATATGCATTGAACATATTTGCAAAATTGAAGGGCTAAAGAGATGACTATTTTCAAAAGGGTGGAATGCCAAACACCTACATTGCAGCCAAATACGAAAATTGAACTTAGTCTTCTTCTTCTAACTGTCGTTTCCCACTATTATTTTAACTCACGAATCTACCTCTTACTCTGTTCCTTTGCCTTTGGATCGGCCCTAATTTAGGCTTAAATAATTGTCCCAACGGTCCAAAGTTTCACATGCAGCCATTTACGCATTTCGAAAGAAAGAAAAAAACCACAACTAACGTGTCTGACTAATGTGTCTGTTCTGACACAACCCCATTGTCCGTCCATTGATATTTTGACAAAAGATTCCTCAAAACCTTACATATGGCACTGAAATTGTGGCCAAAGGTAGGAAATTTTCACAATGGGGAATTGCTCTTCTCTCAAAGGAACCTCTGGGGAGTGTCCTAAATCTATCAGGGTTCTTACGGATTCTGGGGTAGTCTTACAATTCAAGGGCCCTAAACTAGCTTCTGAAATCCTCACTGATTTTCCAGGGCATGGCATTTTCCAACAGGGCAAGGCCTCATTGCCATTGCCTGAGCAAGAGCTTCTAGTGAGTGGCCAATACTTCCTTCTTCCACTGAGGGAAGAAGATCAGTTGGTTTGTGAGAATGGGGTCATTGAGAAACCGGAGGGGGCTGCTGCCGAAGCTGAGCCTGTGAAGAAGTCATTTGGTGCAGGATCAGATTTTGTTGAGAATTTGGCAAATGGGTCATCTGCTCTTGAGGTCCTGCCTTCTGGTGGCGATGGGGTTTGGAGAGTGAAGCTGGTTATTGACACTAAGCAATTGGAGGAGATTTTGTCTGAACAAGGCATCACAGAGGCTCTGATTGAGACAATGAGGATGGCTGCAACTGCAACTGCAGGCTTGCCAAGCACTCCAAGGCAGACAAAGAGAGGGGCTTGGACTTGGAAGCCTATGTTCTCCAACTTGTTTAAGTTGCCCACTGATCATGGGATATAAGCCTATCTTCTCCATCTTTGAAGGGTTTTTTGTTTTTTGTTTTTTTTTTTCCTAAATTAAAAAAAAAAAGGGTTACTATTTACTAGGTGGTTTGTGGTGACATGAAACATCATGTTTCTCTCTCTGTCCCAGTGTCTGAGGTTTTAGTTAGATTATATAGTGAACTATGTTTTAGTATTTTGTACATATGATGAAGGCGAGGGATTTATGAAATATTCAACGAGTATTGTGTGTTTTCTCAGTTTTTTTTCTTTGTTTTTGGACCTGAAATGGGCAAAACAAATCTCAAACAAGTTAAATTTCACTTGGAAGGTAATTTAACTGAAGAAGAACAGTTAAAAATTAGTCTGATAATTATTTCTTCACTGGAATACTAAGATAAAAAGGAGTTTGTATTGTACAATCCATAACCCGACGGTGCAGTAAACACAAACAAGAATCTCTCTTCAAAGATGAAGGATTATGGTAAGGATCATCCATTTCTATTTTATTTGTTTCCTTCTAAAAACTAAATATGACAACATCTCGTATGAACGTGTTAACTTGTAACAGATAACACAACAAGTTGACTTCTAACATTAGGGGCTAATTAGAAACACCACAGCAGTTTTCAAGTTCCAAAGAAAATATTCTGCCATCATGAGACCAATACGAAGCCCTAAAGCTGAAGCCAGTACAACCCACAAGGTAATGGAGGTTGAAACGGATAAGACATTCTGAAATTTTCAGATCCTTGACTCCATCTTACTGATGGCGTTCTCTATAGCAGGTACATTCTTCTTGAAGACTGCCCATTGCTCCTCTGTCAAACTTATTCCTGTAGGACAAAGATTTAAGCAAATACAACCATAAATAAGCTTAAGACAGTCATCGGTACATGCATCCGAAAGATCAAGTATACAAAAGCTAGAAACAAGGAATCTCTAGCTCAATTTTGGTAAAAGGGCCTCTTGGGATTATAAAAGGTAAGCAAGGGAGAAAAGGAAAAAGAACTATAATTCTGAGTTAGCAGCACTGAATGTAAACAACAATGCAGAAAAAAAAGTTGAGCAATCGGCGTTGGTGGTTTACGATGCCAAGATGACAAGCTTACCCATAACTCAGATGTTTTGAATGAACACAATCATGATGAGGCAGTCAGATTGTGCAAACTACAGCCCAGGGAAAAGCAAGTAATGTACAAATTGAACAAAAGCTTAGGACACCCAATATGGCATTTAAAATATTATATGACAGTGATGGCATCAACCATTTCCAAATCAAGACAAATGCATAGTAATTGAGCTCTATAATCAGAAGTTGTAGCTAAATAAGATCATTGCCTGACATACATGAATACATATATTTGACCACAAACTCTCACATACCAGAAAAAACTGTTAATAATAGGTAAGCAAACTGTCACAGACAAATCTAATGTAAGTAATTGAAGCTGCAAGCTTAAATCAATGCCTTATGTACATGCATAAATTGATAAAGTAACAAGCCATAGGACTAGGGAGGTGTTCAAATAGGATATAAATAGATTACCTTTGGTAGTAGGAAGCTCTTTGCCATCTTTACTATAAAACTCCCTTATAGACACCAATGATTTCCCTCTGAATTCTTGAAGTGTCACCTTCCTCTTCGATGAAAGCTGCATCACAACCAAACCCCAAAAAGACCCAACAAGTAAATACAAAATTAAGGTGAACCCAAAATAAGAAACACACTCATTTTTCATCTCATGGGTTTTTTTTCTTCTTTTTCTCGGGAAACAAACAGAGTGGAGAAACTCTGACCCTGCAAATGACGAGATCGCCATTATCATCATACTCCTGGTCCTGGGCATCACCAATTTTCGGGTTTTCATCTTCTTCTACTTCTTGTTGTTGTTGTTGTTCCTTTTGATTTTGCTCTTCGAGGAAGGACTGGACGACCCGTTTGACGAGCGCCTTGTAGGGGGGTTTAGAGAGGTCGAGGTCGAGCACTTCAGAGGCCTGCTTTCGAATCTTGAACTCTGTCATCTCGTCCATGTCCGATTTTTCCAGGATTCCACGCACCGTTTTTTCGATCATTTGTTGGGTTTCCGCATCCATTTTTTTTGTCTTCTGAAGTTCTTGCACACAGAGATTCTAAGAACTTCGTTCTTTGCTTAATTGGGGAAGCTCTGAGCCACTGTGAAGCTCCGTGTTTCTGTACATTTGGGGGTGCTGTCAAAGAGCGGGTTTTATTCCATGCGGACTGGTACACAGTAATGGAGCCACGCTTCACTATTTGATTGGTTAAGGTTTAAACTTTAAAGCATCTTAAGACCATCTCCAATCATGTTGGGGCTAAACTCAAATTTTCACCCTCCAAAATACAACTATTCATGTATTTCAGGACTCAAATTTTTTTTTCCTCAAACCTTGTAGACTCATAATTTGAGTCCGCAACTTTATTAAATTGTTTAAGAATGATTAACCCCTAAATTTTGTTTCTTGTTAATTTTTCTTGACATTATTTTTGTTTCAACACTCGTGATTTAATTTTCTAAACATTTTAACCTAAAAAAAATAAAATTCCAAAACATAATTGAATTTCACTTAAAAAATAAAAATAAGTACAATACTATACGTATGCTCGGAATAATTCGAACTCTTCATTGAATTATGTAAGTGTGTTTAAATTATCTAAGCATTTTTAAATAAACGACAATCATTAAATTTTGCCGTTGAGATTGCTTAAAATTAATCATGATTATTGATTACAAATATAGTTGTTGGAATATTTAAAATAAAACCAAAAAAAAAACAAAACAAAAAAACAAACAAACAAACCAGCAATATCAGATTTTTGGCACAAAGTTGCTGCCCAAACAGTGTAACCAAAACTGGGCCCAACAAACATTGTGCAGCACATGAGCTTCGGTCAGAAAAAAAAAATAAAAAAAGCAGATTTTGGGCCCACAAATTATCAGTCCAGGCAAAAAAGGGACTGGAATTCCACCCAAGATTTGAGATTTCTCAAATTTCCACCCCCCAAAATACATGGGTTGGAGATGGTATTTGGAGGCTAAACTCAAAATTTGAGTTTTCACCCCAAGAATTGGAGATGGTCTAAGAGCTTAATATAATACATTCAACATATTATTATCATGGCTTTGGCCAAATTAGTTACTATTTATAATTTATACATTTGTTGTCAGTTTCCATAAGTGAGCAAGTTAAATGCATTTTTGCCAAAAGATTCCTCAAAGGAACCGCCGGGAGTGCCCCAACTCCATCAGGGTTCTTACAGATTTTGGGTAGTCTTACAATTCTAGGGCCCTAAAGTAGCTTCTAAAATCCTCTCTGATTTTCCAAGGCATGGCATTTTCCAACAGGGCAAGACCTCATTGCCAATGCCTGACCAAGAGCTTCTAGTGAGTGGCCAATACTTCCATTCCACTAAGGGAAGAAGATCAACTAATATTTATTCAAAAACCAATTTTAGCATGACATATTATACGAAACCTTCACTCCGAGTCTTCACTTTCAATTGTGACTTAACTTGAGCTAATACACCTTTTGTAATTGCAATGTTTCCACCAAGTGATGGAAATCACAGTGTCCTAAGAATCGCGTGTTTTTCATTACAACAAATTCGTTAAGCTCATTCATATACGCAATCTCCACTACGTACATTGTCTTGAACTGTTCAAATAGAACATGCCAATATGGCCATGTCGGTATTAATAAAGAATCCTTTACATTTGCATGTCTTTGGTTTGAAAGTTGAGATGTTTTTCCGTCTTTTTTGAAAAAGCTTTGTTTTTTTCCAAAAGTGAAATTTTTTTATAGCTAAAACTTAAATTTACTTTATTATTAAGACACAATTCCAATCCGAAAATAATAATAAATTTTCAGAACAATATAATATTTTGAGATCACAAATCTCAAGTAAAAATTCAGTTAAAATCCCAATGGGGCTTTCGGCAAACCCAGCCAGAATTTTAAACGGCAAAGCCCATACACAAATGCATGCTGACCCCCCAAGCTTATGAGCAACAAGCATGGGGTAAAGTAAAGCTATTTCTGAAGGAAAAAACAATTGTGTTGATGTGTGAAGTCGATGTAGGACTGAAATAGACACCCACCCCCACTTTCTCTTTCTCTTTCTTCCTTCCCCGACACACACCCTTAGGAAGCATTTTAGTTCTGTCTTAGATTGTTTGAATCCCATCTTAAGATTAAGATCAAAAGAACTCAAGTGTTGTCAATTGTGCCAGATAGCTGAAATATAATTTGGTTAAGAGATTGGCAGTCAAGTATGTGGCTTCAAGTGAGTGCTCTTTCCTATCAGTGAGGGCTTTGGCTCCACGAACATAATCCAAGGGATCACCTTACAGTCCTAGATCATGCTATGGAACACCTTCAAATAGAAGTGCCTTCGTCTATTCAATTTATATGCATGCAGTAAGTTCAGGGTTTAAATTATCCAGACATTGTGTTTATATATCTACATTTTTTTCTCTCGCCAGTTTTCGTCAGGTTGTCGTATAAAGTTTGTGTTGAACTCTTTGAACACCTTGTCTCTAGCTTGAGGTTAAGTGCTTTGTAGTGGTGGGAGTTTTGATGGTTTTCTGTATAGGAAAATATAACACACATCATCTATCTTTAGCTTCTTTTCAATTCAATGTGGTGAATACACCAGATGGTTTCACGTACAACTCTACAATTTGGGCACTGGCTCCACACTTTTCGTAAAACTACATGCCGTCAAAGCTCCACTCCCGTGCAGTTATCTCTTCAGTATCCTTGGACCTCACTTATTCTTTGCTGCACTAACCAAGAATTTGAGAGAGTCAACAAATCTGGCACAAGAATTTAACCAAGTATAAGATCAGAGTTCATGTATGGCAGAAGAAACAAAATTTGGTAAGTAATAACCATTGATTACATAAGAAATGAATGAACTGTTTTAATCCAACTACATTCTAGTGATGCCATGATGGAAGAACCTCAGATACATTTGGTAATTCACTCATAGCAACCTCTGGCTCTCATCTTTTCGTACCGTTTGATTTTGGTTTTCTTATTTAGGTTGTAGTGAGAGTTGTGAAACATTGAAGCAAACTTTTATTTGTTTTTCTCATCTTTTCTTACTGTTTTTGTTAAAGAGAAAGAAAAACAGGAAAAAAATGAAAAGAAACAGAAGAAAATCCAAACCCTGCGTTTTACAGGGAAATCAAAGCTTGCCTTGGT